CAGACCCCCCCCCCCCATGTGTCAAGTAAAAACGTTTTACTTGACATGGTTCTTAATTAAATGAACACATGGTTATCCTGAAAGGATTTTTGGTGTGCTGGTGACATCTCTTCAAATTATCCATGTAACTAGTGCCATCCGCAGTCACTACAAGCACCCTCCCCTGTTGTTGGGGTATCCGGTAAGGATACCCCAACAAGTCTCTCTCTATATATATATATATTCACAAACACAGCAAATCAAGCTACTTCACTGGCCCCCTCTCCAAGCTAGTAGATAAACAGTCGCTGGATTCTACTCTGTCCCTTGTACTGGACAGGAAGTTCAGGGAAGCTCGTAAGCAGCTGCTCAGAAACAGTGATTGTGAATGTTTGGGGAAATATGTAAAATCGATGCTTTGCTGGGCAATGTATATTTGTTTGGTCTGGATGAATGATTGAAAAAAGTTGGAGAGTTTAAAACACAACTTTAAAGTGCAACTCTCATACAAAAACGAAATGTGAGGAGATCGAATTTAAAAAGACTGTCACTTTTTCAATTTAGTGCCCCCCTAAAAGCCTAGATCTCGTAGCAAGGTGTGCTGTCCCATTCACTCTAACCTAGCAGGGCTTTTGCGTATGGGTTAGCATGTGACAATGCTTTAGCCCAGTGATATTATTCATCCGGTTAAGCTCCAGCTCATTTACAAATGGACACTTGCACCAGGTGGCGAGGGAGTATGGAATTGCAAGGATAGATTGCTGGGGGGAAGGGGGGCGTGGCATTTGAAGACACTGGGGGGGGGGAATTTTACAAACGTGTTTGCAACAAAGATTTTTAGGGGTAATTACCAAAACGCCATGTTAACTAATCACAGCGTTTTATCTCTGCAATGCGGGGTTTTTTTGTTTTTTTTAAAGTGTTCTTACAACATATTAATATTTGCGACTCACTGCATATATTTTAAGACATGTCACTTAATATTCCAACTGAGCAGTATATGTGCTCTGCATTTGCGACAGTAAAAGGAAGAGAAGAGGTCCTGGGTCCTAAGGTGCCCATACACTGCTCGATTCTCGTACGAGAATCGCGGGAAATCCCACGATCGTATGAGAATCGAGCAGTGTGAACGAAGACGTGCGACCATTTCTACTGTACGGTCGCACGTCTTTTGTCTAAGGAGCACACTAGAAAACCAGCCGAAAATCGGCTGGTTTGAACGGTGCTCGGGAGACAAATGCCGAACGGGCCGGTGTGCGCACGCGCACACTGCCCGTTCAGCATTGCGGTCATCGGAAGCCCGCCCCTCAGGGGGGCGGGCTTGCGATGATCGAGAGTACGATCTGCCTGTCCAAGATGGGCAGATCGTACGTTTTTTAATGACTTTACAACCATCACAAGACTAAGGTCTTGCGATGGTTGTAAAGTGTATGGCCACCTTTACTTAACCCCTTCACGACTGAGCTAGTTTTCAGTTTTTTGTTCATAAATGACTGACACTTGTTACATTGTTGCTATGTGATTCTTTGACAGCAGTAATATATTTTCTTACTAAATGTACCCACACATATTATATATTGTTTTAGACAGTTAGGTACACATGTTTGATATAATTATATAGCCCTAACGCCTCACTTAGTTTGAATAAAATATAAAAAATTGGGGGGGGGGG